TGGGTTTTCCCCGGGTACTCCGGTTTCCTCCCACAGGGAAAGTTGACAGGGTGGGTTAGGTAAAAAGGGCCCACAGTAATTGGCATATGCTGTTGTGGTGACCCTGCCCTAGTTGGCAAAGCTAAATAAATAAACTCATAGTGATCGTAGACTGCCGGCGACAGTTCGCGTCGATCGGGAAAGTTGAACGGAACCAATTTCAATTTTTCCGATCCGTCTCCGATCTAGCCTGCATGGCGGTCCCTAAAATCGGCCCCGATCGTTCTCAGACAGCGTTTGTGTTCACAGAACAATTCGGCACATATCTGGGACTGCTTTATTGAACAATTTTATGTGAACTAGACTTTAGTTTGAGGGCCGTTACATTTCTTTCTTGGGGGGGGGGGGTTACTTTGGGAATTCTACGGTAGCTTCGAAACTCTTTTTTCTAAATGGTCACCGGCCCGTACCTGAGCATCAGGAGACTCTCCGATGTCGGTTTTTTGAATTTCTTCCGTTTCCTTCGACATGCTTTCAACATGTTTCTGCAACTGTTCCAATTTCTTCTGTTTATTTTTGCGTTGATGTCTGATTGCGTTCAGCTTGTTCACGGACTCACAAACTTGCTGGTTCAAAAAAAATAAATTTTTATTAGAAATGAAACTTTAAAGGGTTTGGTGAGGTACCGTAATTGCCACCGCCAGCAATATTAGAACTTTATCGATTCAAAATCCTGTCTGAAAATATTCTTGGCATTGGGGAAATTTTGCAGGTGCATATATAGATACACATAAAAAATCATTGCCTCGATTTTGTTATCATCTAAATTCTGCATTCTATTGGTTGAAAATTAATGAAGTTTGAAATTCATTCTTTGTTCTTTTGCGATTTCTACTGATAAGAGTATAATTCTGATTTAAGCAAAAAAATTAATTCTGAGATAAAATTTGAGATTTTAAGATTTGTCCCCATTTTTGATTTTGAGATAGTGGAATAATTATACCGTCGAGCCATGCACAATTATATAAGAATGTTTTTTAACTTAAGATAAGTCATTCAAAATTTACAGTGCATAAAACTGTTCTTTTCATGCATGGATTAATGAGCAAATATTTCTTGTATATACAGCCAGGCCGGATTACTACAAAACTCAAAAGATGGCCCAATATAAGGATGATCGATCCTTGGCCTTGCAAACTTGACCTCTGGGAGAATAATTTAATTAATTAAAACTGATAGAGATATCCATGCAGTATATATATATATATATATATATATATATATGTATAAAGTTTACTTAGTTTAATGTAGGTTTATTTCTGCAGTAACATTGCATGGCTCAATAAGAGATGATCCCTACATGACCTATATAGCTAGGGAGAACAGTGAAGCTATCCAGTATAAATAAAGTTAGTTTAGTTCAGGTTTCCTCCTGTAGTAACACTGGATCGATAAGAGATGATCCTTATACTGAACCTCTAGGGAGAACAGTTTAGAACTGATAGAGCTATCCAGTATAAATAAAGTTATAGTTTAGTTTATGTTTCGTTCTGTAGTAACACTGGATCAATAAGAGATGATCTTTACTGGACCTCTAAAAAGAACAGTTTAGAACTGATAGAGCCATCCATGCAGTATGATAAAGTTAGTTTAGTTTAGGTTTCCTAGCTCCTGTAGTAACACTGGATCAATAAGAGATGGCACTTACTGGACCTCAATATGGAACAGTAAAACAGTTTAGAACTGATAGAGCTATCCAGTATTTAATACAAATTTAGTTCAGTATAGCTCTCCTGTAGTAAACACTGGATATTTAAAGGATGACACTTTCTGAATCTTAATTCAACGAGAGCAGTTAAGAGCTATATACCAGTACAAATAAAGTTGGTTTCATGACTTTCATTTTTATCATTTGCAGTTCCGTGTGACAGTGGAAAATACAATACCTGGTCAGGAGCAAAGATCTTATAGCACTGCAAATATGAAGATAAGTACTAAGGTATTAATTTTTTATAGAGAACATATCAATCCCAATATTTTTTTCAAAATTAACTTCAACCAAGGCAATCCTTGTATCCTGCCTTACATAGAACATTTTACGACTAACAATTTTAAAGTATGTAACGTCAGTACCCCAAATCTTCAACAAGCTCACTCTCTAACTCCGCAAACTACAAAACATGAATCTATATTCTAATTTTGTGCGAGGTGTCCGCTGACATGTGAGCCCGCACGAGTGGGAGAAAATATGCTAAATTTGACCAACGTGATAATTAAAATGATCGAATCGTTGTCTCCAAAAGGCACGCAAATTAAAAGATTTCAGGGCCATTTGACTCCATATATGCCAAACCCCAGACATTTCCCCTATAAGCCAGGAGATCTATAGACTCGAATATACATCATTCGATGTTCAAGTATTTCTATAAATAGCGCCTTACAAAAAGATTATTGGAGTGCTGATGTATATCTTTTAACACAGATATTTTCATATTCAATACCATATATACCCAAATTTACTCAGCTGGAATTAAATTGTATACTCGATTTCTTAAATAACTTCATAAAAACAAATATCGTATGTGCTTTTGTCAGCATTGCAGTATTTATGAGCACGAACTCCTTTATGATTTTGAAAGGAGACAAAAAAAACATTGAAATAATATATTGCCGTATATATTATGTTTTCATCAGTTCATTGCTTCAATCTCAGGTGTAAAAAATTATTTTATTTGGAGTGATATATTTTGTTTGATTCCTATTGTCAATAACTTTATTTGTTTTGTATAACAAAAGGTCACTGGTCGCTCTTTTCTTTCAAGTCGCCGCAAAACTTAAATTCACTTAGACGCGTGCATAAAATTTGATATTTACGCTACAGAAATGTCACGATAGATACTTTTGACAAATATAAGTTCTGGCATCAGAAATGGTGGCATTCGATATATTCATGTGCAACCTAGGCAAAATGCAACATTAATAAATTTAATAAATCCATTATGTTGTGCATGGTTCAATGTTGTTTTCATGAACGCACTCCGTCGCATTCAACAAGGGCTGTAAGGTATGGCACTTCACTTGCGATAAGAAACCCCTAGTCAACGTATATTTGTACTTGTTCTGTGACAAAAGATCACTTGTCCGCATTCACTCTTTAATGTATGCATATATATCTCGGCGAAAGATGCCAAAATATATATAGGCATGCATATTTTGAGTTTCCCTGCACATCCAATAAATTGCAGTAAAGCATTGTGAAAAACACAACTTGCAATTTAGGCGATGGGACGCATACAAATTTTACAAAAAAATAATTACAATATTTAGTGCATGATTTAGTTTCTTCCATCTGCCGAAGAAAATATAGGCGTGAGCTTTTTTAACGCGAAAATCTTTTGCCATGATGCCTATCAGAAATAAAAACGGGTAGCATACATGCCCACTTTGTTCATTTAAATAAAAATCGATATTTATAAACTCCAAGTGTCGACTCGCACCTGTTAATATAGTTTGCGAGTCTATTATAACTATAAAGCTGTGCACACAAAACTCTTACTGAGATTTTCGAAGTTTTTTGCTTAGTTTTTTTTGCATATTTGTTACAAATCAACATGCCGCGATCGTTTTTGGTTAAAAAAGCAGAAAGCAGAAGCAGTGTTTTTTTGGATGGCGGTCAAAACCAAAGACATTGTATTGTTGGAGTCGAAAATATGTCTACCAAAGGTAAACTTAATGTTTATATAATATTTTTGAAGTTTGATTATGTAATTATATCGTTGAATGCATTTAATATAATGTGTATAGTTTCTGGAGGATATATGCACGTCTCGAAAACCTATACATTTGCAGTTTTACATGTAAAGCGAACGCGAAATTTATCCATGAAATATTGGATTGGAATTTCTGCAAAGAGTACAAAACTGTAAAGTAGTATACAGATGATATACAGTACTAAAAGTACAGATTATAGAATTTCTAATTTATAAGCTTTTAAATTGAGTACAATAATGCGTCAGTTTTATCTTAAATTGAAACAAAGGTTTAACTTTTGTTTAAATAATGTTTGCCTTGATTAATATGCTTGACCGACTTGATGATTCAATTCGTCATTTAATGGCTTCACTACTGATAAGTTTACTTAACCATTCTGCTATAAGGTTTAAGATATGTGTATAATTTTCACTCAAACATTTCAACATTCAGTTATATTGATGTAAAACCAGAGGTTTGTTTAAATCCAAGCCTTTTAGAAAAGATACTGACAGTGTCCGTAATTCGCATGAAACAAAATTCAAGAAAATATACGGGAATATACAAAATGTATTTTAAAGTTTCTTCGCTTTGCATAATAAATCTTGTACACCAAATCGAATACACAAATTAAAAACTCATTTGCAAGTATTTTGTAGTTTAAATCTTTCCCTCAAATTTAGGTATTGTCAAATTTAGATATTCTCATTCTGCAAGCAATGGATAATACAATGGATATACAAACACAAAAACAACAATTACATTGAACTTCAGTCTTTACATTTAGATCACAAGGTAAGCAAAGCGAAAGAGAGCAAAATCATTGCACCAAATGCAAACCTCCTCTCCGAACAAGCAATAAAAGAACAAAGAAAAAAATATATCAAAATGTCCAATTTTTCAGCAGCTTCTATAACACTTTGCAAGACTCAATTACCAACGGTCACAAGCACGAAGGTGTCGGCAGACAAAAGCAACAACGGCAATGTGATTTATTCAAGCAAAGTTGCAACAGCCTTGCCACAACTTGCTAGGAAAAAGTCCAGAATTTTTGAAGATCTGCCGAAATTGTTTGAATCTAATGTTCCAGAGGATGAGACGAATCGTGGAAGTACAAATGAGGTTCTGACCACACCCTCGCAGTTTCAAGAAGGTTCGTGTTATTTTATATTTTGTGGGAAAACCTTGAGAAAATTAGGAAACATTGTGTCGGACAATATATGGAACAGATGTTTCCTTGCATGTTTCTTTGTTTGTTTGGGGAATTAGAGTTAGGATTGGGGTTAGGTTTATGGGACAAGGAGCCGTTTTAAAAACCTTCCTCTCGTATCCGTCCCTACTTGGCAACAACCTTGATATATGACACTAAAGCACACCCTTCGGCATCAAGAGACTAATATAGCTTGGTATAAGATTAGATTAATCTTTTAGGGTGTATCTCTGACCATGATCTCCTTCTACCCGTAAACTTGAATTCAGATTACATCAGGGAGTGGTTACTATATTACTCCAAAGCCTCGCCCTTTTTATTTATCAATCTACCCACGAAATAACCTACATCGGAAAATCTATAACCTTTTAAATTTTCTTAATTTACCAAATACCGCAGGTTTTCTGTTGGAAACTCCTGTAATGTCAACCCTGGATCAATAAATGATAAGAGATAGTTCCTACTGGACCTCTAGGGAAAACAGTTTAGAACTGATAGAGCTATCCAGTGAAAGCTAGTTTAATTCAGATTTTCTTCCTGTAGTAACACTAGATAAATAGGAGATGCCCTTTACCTCTGGGTAGAACATGCAGATTGTAACTGATAGAGCTATCCAGTTAGGTTAGTTTATTGATCCAGTGTTACTGCAGAAGGAAACCTAAGAGATTACCCTTACTGGACCTTTAGGGAAAACAGTTTAGAACTGATAGAGCTATCCTGTATAAATAAAGTAGGTTTAGTTTAAGTTCCCTTCTGTAGTAACACTAGATATATAAGAGATATGGTCCTTACTGGACCTCTAGGGAGAACAGTACTAGTTTAAAGTTGGATTAGTTTAGGTTTCCTCCTGTAGTGACACTGGATCAATGAGAGATGATCCTTACTGGACCTATAGTAGAACAGTTTCAGTATTACTGAAGTTAGTTTAGTTAGTCAATCATTTTGTAGTGTGAACTTGACAATTAGTTTCTGCTACGAGTGAAATAATGCGCAATTTTAAGATCGTGTGAAAAGTCATTACTGGTGGCAAAAAGAAACTTATCAAAAAACGGAATCTTGTTTTTGCTGGTGGCAACGCTCTCTGTCTTGAGTTAATATCATCGGCGCCGGAAAAAACAACAGGAACGTCATACAACGCGTTTTAATTTGAACAAAACGAAACACTCTGTAAGGAAACTGTAAGATAAGATTGAAAAGAAATTAAAAATTTACAAAGTCTAAAGACTTTCCTTTGACGGTGTTGTTAGATGAGAGTTCAACCTTCGTTATTAAAACATAACTCATATTTCAACTCCACAACTCAAGATAGTTTTTGTTTAAAATAGGGGACACTAAACTGATTTTACTTTTATGCATCTACTGCTTTATCAGATCTAAACTGTCCTCCTAGAGATCCAGTAAAAGCCACCCCCCCTTGGTCCAGTATTGTTGCAATCTACCTATATGTTTTCCAACCGACGACTATTTGCTATTCATGTACGCGTTCTTTAAAAAATAATTTCAAATTTCTACTTTTTTACAGGTGTGCGCTGCCGAAACTACCCGGAAGTTCCAACCTATCATTTCAACCGTACGGCAATGAATCCCCATACTTTCGACCCCACTGGAACTACGGCTACCAACCCGCACACCCGCCACAACCTTACGAAACACACCATCCTTGGCTGGAGTACATGCAGGCTCAGCAAGCTTTGATATACGAACGCTCATTGGCTATACACCAACCAACGGGGTACGAGGATAAGCCCTCATTCGCCATACATCAACCAATGGGGTACGAGAATGAGCTCTACACAAAATCGGATCAACCAATGAGGAACGAGGCACAGGGCACCCCGACAAAAGCATCGAGAAGTCATGAAAAAAATCGACTAAAATCCAAACTAAAGAAATTGCATACTTGTCCAGTGTGCGAGAAAATTTTTACACAAGCTGTTAGCCTGAAACAACACATGATAGTTCATTCTTTGGCGAAGCCCTACAAATGCAAATACTGTTCGAAAAGTTTTAAACGCTCGTCGACTCTGTCAACGCATTTACTCATTCATACTGGAATCAGGCCATTCGCCTGCGAATTTTGTGGCAAGCAGTTCCACCAGAAATCGGACATGAAAAAGCACACGTTTGTACACACTGGGCAAAAGCCTCATCGTTGTTCGCAGTGTGGCAAGTGTTTCAGCCAATCGTCAAATCTTATCACGCATTGTAAGAAGCATGTCGGGTTTCAGCCGTTCTCCTGTGAAATTTGCGGCGCGTCTTTTATCAAGAAGATCGAACTGCGCAGACATCGTTATAGACACGAGTTTAAAACTGATGGCGAGATTTTAAAACCATTCTTGTAAACTGTTCTTTATTTTTTATAAGTAGAAGGGGATAAAGCACGCAATTTGATTGACTAAAAAGCGGTATTATCGCGAAACAATGCACTGCCTTGTTTTTATAATACATATCCTTAATAGATTTAGACTTGAGAAATTTTTATTAAAGTTACATAGGCAGTACATATTCAATACACTTGTCAGATTTCTATGATACACTGATATACTTGAGCTACTTTGCTACGACGAATATGACTTTTTTATTAATACTATGTCTATATGTCTATCGATGTTCATCGACTACACTTGCACAACTTAACAACAATGTTAAATCGCAGAGTTCTAAATTCGAGTAAACGGTAATATTGCCTCTTAATAAAATGTTAGCGGTGAGGGACCGTTAATTAACTATGCACTGGCACCGAAGAGAAATTCTTTGCACTCCTAATCGAACTTGTAGCCCTGCGATTCCGGTACAGCGCCATGACACTGAGCTACAGACTACAGTTGCCAAGAGCCAGGGCCGTCGCGAATGTGATTGGACGACGGCCCTGTATGGTATAAAGGTAAATAATGGAAAATTTGCTCAAAATTTTCATCGGCAAAACCTCTTAAATTAATATGTTACACTGTTCTTAGTTTCTCTTCAGTACCAACCCCATGCAGGTATAAATAATGAACGGTCTCCTTATACAATTTTTTAGCTTTAAGTCTTAAGAGCATGTCTAATTTCCACGTTAGTTTTTCACTTGGTAAAACACTTCAATCTCACTCGGCGTAAATCCGCTACTTCCCGCTAAAAGGGCACCTGCTTTATCTGTACCTTTCTTGTATCCCTCTGGTAGCTTGTACGCATGGCCAAGATTAGCGTAGCAGTTCTGCGTAGGAGGGTGTCTCGTGATGAATAAATCAATACCAGACGATATAGTGCCACTCCCGAATACTGCACCATAACTTGCACCAGAAAAAGTAGCTTTATTAACCTCCAAAATGGATGACTTAAAAGCTGGCAAGTTATCTTTGTTCCAAAGTGAGAACATGAACGCATTTGTTGATCTATTTTCACCAACTAAAGAAATAAAACATAAGAGTTAGATATTTAAATTGACAAACAATTATGTTAGTGTCTGTTAGTTACAGATGTAGTTGAAGGGTCTTGTAGTCGGAAATTATCGAGTGAAAATTTATATACATTTATTAAGGCGGATTTCCATTCAGTGCAAAATGTCGCACGATCGATTTTTTGCGATCGCTTTCTTTTGAAATGTGTGCAGTCAACTGCAGCTAATGAGATTTGTTCCGCTTGACTGTTTGTATTTCAAAAGAATGCGATCGCAAAAAGTCGATCGCTCAACATTTTGCACTGAATGGAAATCCGCCTTTAGACCTAACCAGGAACAGCTGCGAAAAATGCGGCTATAGGTCCCTAGCAGGAATCGAACCTGCGATTCCGGTACAGCGTTCTACAACTGGCCTCTGTATAGCTCAGTTGGTTAGAGCGCTGCACCGGAATCGCAGGGCCGCATGTGCGGATAATGCGACGTTCTTTTTTTAGTGACGTTTTAGTTAAGCCCGGTTTCCATATGACGACGACTCATTGTCGGTAGTCATTGAAGGGGAAAATTATTTCAGATACACAAAGGATTTTACTCATGAGTAATCACCGACAATGGAACTCGCCAACTGTCGGCGTCATAAGGAAACCAGGCTTTAAACTGGAGACCTATAGCAATTGTGATTCTCACTATCATTTTAACTTTAGTTTATTCAAAGTGTAACATGCCTACTCCGCTCCAGTTGGTATCTGCGAATCCTCCAAAGATATAGTCATTTACTTTCACCAAGACTACAGTTGGGATCTTGTTGTCACACTTTGTGTGGAAATCTTTGGCATACCATCCATTTTTTGATGCTCTGTAACAGAGTTGCCATGTGTGACCTTCCTTGTAAAACCACTCAAACAACTGTTGATCATATTCACCCGTTTCAAGGATTACTGAATCTGAAAAATCGGTTATGTTGGGAACTACTGTATAAAAAGCAAAAGAAAATTAAATGAAAAACTTTAGGATATAATTTTTTGGTCCAATTCCCATACTAATTAACCCCCTAAATTTAATTAATCTTTAACCAAACCCCAATTTAATCCCTACTTTTACCCAACTTTTACCCAAATCCTTGTGACGTCATTTCAACGGAGGGCCACACAGCTAAACTAATATGTCTGATAATAGAATTAAACTAATCAGCTGATTACTTTAAGTCTATTAGATGTATGCATGTTGCCAGCCAATGCACTTGCATATTATTAGGGGCTTATTTTATTAGAAAGAAGGGCTTATTAGAGGTGGTCATTTTGAAAGAGAGTATTTTTGGGATAGTAGGCTTATTTTATGGGGCGTTACATGTATAGTATCAGAATATATTAAATGCTTGGTAACTTTTGTTCTATTTCTCAGAATCCAAAAATGAGCTTATCCATAACAATGACCTAGTCATCAGAAGATCTATCTGTAGAAACATTTTAACCTATATGGCAAAACATGATCATACCTCCACCAAACAGTTTCAAGACCATTTCAGTATTTATTTGCTTTGCTGGAAACCAACATCTGTTGATATTAACAGGTTTTGGGAAATTCTTTACACCTTCCGATTCTTTTTTCACGGCTTCTACTCTCTCTTCAACCATTTTTTGTGACTCGATAATTTCTTCATCACTGCCTTTCTGCAACACATTCTTGGATATGTTGCCAGCACACTTGACTTTATCCAAGAAGGACTCTACTTTATTTCTTTGCTCAGTGAGTTGCTCTCCATGTGTAGTATACAACTGATCAACTTGATTGATTTTGCTCTGGAAAACATCTTCAACAACTTTTATGATGCCATTCTTCTGCTTACAAATCTTTTCTTTTGCATCTTCAGCAGCTTTCTTTAATGCCTCCTCAGCATCAGAAACATTTTTCAATGACTTCGCACCCTTGGCTTGTTTTTCATCCAGTTCATCACAACACCTCTTCAGGGCCTTTCGGTGATTTCCCACAACTTTCTCGATAGGATGACATAGGTGCTCTGGTCTGACATGATTGAAATCCATGCAGTACCTATAGGATAAAGTATTTTACACTTGCATGGACTTACATTTACACCATGAAAACTAACCTGACTTTGATTGAGAACCAGCTCTCTCCTGCCTTGATGAGTAAAATGACGTGGGCATATTATAGCACAATGCAAGGTCACAATGTAGGGCGAGCCTGACAAGGTACTGTGCAGGAAATCTTGCAATGGTCAGTGGAGTTGCCAGGATCTAAACTTTGGAAGGGGGGATTTCAAATTTCTAGATTCACTAGAATACTATTTCACATATTTTAGGACAAGGTTTGAAGAAAAGTTACAGCCTAATGTTGTTTGATCAAAAAAACTTTTTGTAAAACATTGTATTGTACAACTGCAGTAGCCTGCGAACATGCACAAGCTAATACAACAGCAGAATAACATGATGTCTTGGTTTTTGAAGTGAAAATTATATTGTAATTAATGTAAATTACATGTAAACCCCCATAGACATTTTTACTGTTGTTAGGATTCTAGCAGGATCATAACTAGACAAGATAATTGGGGGGGGGGATGAATATTCATATAATCATGTTCACATACCGTAAAAACAATCGCTTTCAAAAGAAATCCATTGGGCAGAACATGAGTATACGAATATTCACCCCTCCCCCCAATTATCGTGTCTAGTTGTGGCCCTGGATTCTAGATAGCGAAGACTATACAT